TTTGGTGGAACTGTGATATGATTCTGTTTTGGGTTCGAGGTCACGACTATCTGGTCTCATGTGTATGATGCTGCTTGGTTTCTGGAGGTTCACTGACGTTCATTTATTATTATTATTATTATTATTATTATTATTATTATTATTATTATTATTATTATATTATTACTATCATTATTATGATGTTTTATTCATAGTTATAATATATATATATATATATATATATATATATATATATATATATATATATATATATATATATATATATATATATATATTGTTGTCCTCTTCTCTCTCTCTGCCTACGGATTTACCGGGCAGTTCTGTTCGTCACAACCCCTCGTTTGTTGTCCTCTTCTCTCTCTCTGCCTACGGTTTACCGGGCAGTTTTGTTTGTGAATATATATATATATATATTAGTTGAAATATTAGGGAGGAGAGGGCGACATACCTGCTATCCGCCCAACCCGTCCAAATGCAAGCTTATGCCTGTCGTGTCTCCCGTGCCGGGGTCTCTTTATTCTGCACATTGCGACTGATTGGATTAAAGAGAGGGGGGGCGTCGAGCATTGTACGGTAGGTCCCCGATCCCTCAGCTGATCTCACGCTACTTTCGGTGATTGGACGAGCATAATCAAATGAACCTACGGTAGATTATGGAAGCATACACCCCGCTCGTCCGCGGACTTGTTAGTTGTGTGTGTATGTGTGTGTACGTGTGAACTCCGCGACTAGCCTCACTCTACTTCCATCGGTAGGATAAGCAGATCAAATGTGCCTACCACTAAACACAAATTCTACACTACTACTGCATGTATGTGTGTGTGCTCACCCGTATGTGTGTGAGAGTGTACGTGTGTGTGTGTATACGTATGTGTCTGTATGTATGTGTGTGTATGTGCGTACATTTGTGTGTGGGTATGAGTATGAGCTTGCTTTAATAGTGCGGCCATAGCCGCTGTAGTGTTAGAAGTTAGTAAGTGTATGTGTGTGTGGAGTATTCAGGGTGATCTAGAGTGGAATGTGCGTGAACAGTATCAGCCAGAGTGACGAGTTGGGATGTACAAGCGATGATGCGCCATAGCCTGTCGAAGCGAGTTTGCATCTGAACTGTGTTATCGGGCTCCATAGCTCTGAGCTTTGAGTGGGCGCAGTGCGCCGGGGTGAATCACCATCTGTTGCATGTATGCTGACGGGAAAAAAAAGCGGGTCTGATTACATTGTTATTGTTATTATTATTATTATTATTATTATTATTATTATTATTATTATTATTATTATTATTTTATTATTACTACTATTATTACTGTTGTGCTTTAATCCCACCTGTAATGTGTAGGGGTTGAAGCTTCAGGGGTTGATGCTTCAGGGGTTGATGCGGGTGATTTGGTGGTCTTCAGGGAAGGAGGCGAGAGTGGGATTACCAAGGTCTGATTGAGGGTGACGAGATACGTACCTGGTACATCGACTAATGGTGTTGAGAGTCATGTATATTGGTCCCCCAGTGTCGAAGAGAGCCGTTGCGTGAATACTAAACTAGAAGGGATAGGTGAGTAGTGTAGGCTGATTGAGGAGACAAGATACTTTAGTGAATACTAAAGTAGAAGGGATAGAGAGCGACTCTGATACTGTGTTGGTGTGGCCTACGGGCTTGGACATTGCCTCATTACTTCATTTTATTGCTCTATATGGATGGTTTTCGGTGCATTTGTACTCTCTGCAAGGACTCGACTACTTCGACAGCTGTGTGATTTTGCAACTTGGTTTTTTGTATATCGTTCACACTCATATTCCTTGCATCATTGGTGTTGATCCTATTATTATTATTATTATTATTATTATTATTATTATTGTTGTTGATTGTTGTGATAAACCCAAACAGAAAGTTATTTGTTAGATGCCGTAGTACAGGTAGACTCGGATCAACAGCAAGTAGACAGCGTGGCCAATGCCACGTCGACAGTAGAGACGGGCGGCAACGCCACATCAGCAAGGATGAGTGGCATGTGCCACATCAACATACGGACAGCATGGCCAATGTCGCGTCAGCAGTAGACAGGCGGCAGTGCCACAACAGCGGTATAGACCAGTGGCAGGCCACATTAGCAGTGCGGACGAGTGGCCTTCGCCGCATCAGCAGATAGACAGTATGGCCAATGCCACGTCAGCAGGTAGACGGCATGGCCAATGCCAAGTCAACAGCAGAACAGGAGGCAGCACCACATCAGCACGGCGGACAGATAACTTGTGCCACAGCAGCAATGCAGAAAAGTGGCCTGCGCCACATCAGCGAGGTCGACAGATGACCTGCGCCACATCAGCAATGCATGGCGCACATAGTAGACAGCGCCAGCATATTGCCACAATCCAGCGTCATCCGCAGTATCAGCAAACAGCCAGCGCCAGCCGACGTTAAGGCAACATAGCAAGACTGAATGTTGATCACCCGGAGGCCGAGCCTTATGCAGTAGTTGGCGAGTCTGTCTAGTTTAAGGTCACCCTTCTACAGTTGTACAGATTGGCTCACAGCCGAGGGCCTGGACTGTGTACAGTTACAGACTTCCGCCTGGTCCTGATGCCGTCTGAGTACCTACAATACAAACATACAGACATGCATGCAGACATACATACAGCAGACATACATACAACAGACGTACATACAACAGACAGACATACAACAGACAGACAACAACAGACAGACAGACAACAAACAGACAGACAAATCGACAGGTAGCAACAGACACAGACAGACATACAAAATAGACTTACGGACATATGCGGAGGTAGCGACAGGAATCGGGCACACGTTAGCAATGACAACAGTCGCACGCGCAACGACGTCCGCTGCAACATCGACCTCCACCAGGACCTTAGTGCAGGCAGTCCCACATGGTACCCGCAGATTGGACAAAGTATGACTGGGATTGGGTACTGCAGACTTGACAACAGTTGGACTGCCCATTTGCCCACTTGCCCCTGGTCTAACGCGAGCAACGCTCGAAAGGCCACTTCCGAACGTTCCGAAAGTCTGAAGATTTGACCTTTTTAGGACTGTAGCGGCAACGACCCTGCACAACTATGACCCCTACTCGACAGATCTACAAACCGAACTCAGACAGCGACATAGAATTACGGCGGATAACAATTAACAGCCCAAACACAAGTCACGGGATCAAGCACATATAGGGTCGACTTGATACCGTAGATAGGTACATAAGGTCTAGGAATCGAGCCCTGGGACCTGCATCTGCTACGGCTAAGGTGAGGGTTGTTTCAAACATATTATTATTATTATTATTATTATTAGCCTCATGTATTAATCACAGCTATAATTTGTGGATGGTCAGGGTCTGATGAGAGGGGATGAGATACATACCTGATGCAAGAAAAAGGCCGATTGTGGAGTAGACGTCATGTACATTGGTCTCCGAAGTCTAAGTGAGTCTGTCTCGTTGACGCGGCTGTGGTAGGATAGGTGTAGTGTAGACTGGGCATTGGACGTCAGGCAGAGAAGAGTGACATTGAATACTGCATTAATGTGGCATGAGGGTTTGAACATTGGCTCACAAGGTCACTATGTCGTTCTTATTTGGATGAAACCTTAGTGCATTTCAACTTTTTACTCATTACATGATTATCTGGACTTCTGTATGTTTGATTGTGACTTAGTCTTCGGTGTACTGTGCTCACTCATATTACTTGCATTATTATTATTATTATTATTATTTTATTATTATTATTATTATTATTATTTTTTACTATGATTATTATTATTATTATTATTGTTATTATTATTATTATTATTTGTTTTTGTTACTATTTTATTACCTACACCGTTTGTTATGATCTGATTGTCAGAACAATCAGACATGTGCATGTGAACCCCGTTCCTAGCTAGAGCCGAGATCACCTTTGTGCACGCTGGCCTAGAGCAAGTGKAAGTGCTGATTGATTGATGTATGGATGTAGGACGGGTGAYAGGATAAGGCTCCAGGGTGAGGAACATCCTATTACCCGTCTCTACGTGTGTACATATATTAGATAGTCAGGTTGACAGGCTAGAAGTGGGGTACTCCTGTGCGGGTCATCCCATGGTCTGTCTAAGTCTAAACCAGCTAGACTAAAACCAGTGGTAGGATACTCATGTCTGAGTTATCCTACTGCTTGAGTAAGTATGAGGTTAAGACTTCTGTCGGAGTCTTCTTACTTCATACTTACATTTGATCGGACTCTATTATAGTCCACAGATAGAATTGAAGTTCACATCGTTGAACTTCGTGTAGAGCGATAGTGAGGGAGGTGTTGAGATTTTAAGATCTGTGTGTGATTGCAGGTCATCTTACTCAAGAAGACTCATTATAAGTTTATACAAGACTGCATGCTGGTGCCTTATGGTAACAGGTTGGTTCACCAACTCAACCTTCACTCACCTTCTGCACCCACACTTTGCATCAACCCTTGCTCTAAATGACATTTCTGATTTTGGGTCAGTGTCTGAAGGGTCAGTGTTTGGTCAAATGAGGTCCTTGAATGACTGAGTCAAAACAGGAATGTCTGGCAGAAGGATTTGGAAGCACAAGTGTAATGTGTGTGGAAGTGAATGAATGGTTGACTCTGTTAGGATTGCAAAATGCTTTTGTTTTRTCTGCAGGTCAGTAAGAAGAYMAACCACGTGTTATTCACTCTACTCGCATTGCTGAACTTATGTTGAGCCTCGACTCAGAYATTTCGTCGACTCGTAACCTTTGTACATTTGGTTTGGATGTTTCGACTTTACTCCTTGATGCTGAATAGWTTAGGACAATTGGCAAGGCCATGAGCCTATTCYTTTATTCTGATGCATATTTGACAGGCCACGAGCCTACCTTTGGTCATGATGTTTGCTTGAAAGGCCAAGAGCCTATTGATTGTTTTCTGTTTCGAAAGTTAAACTCTGTTCATTCTGATGTTTGCCTCTGTTTGCGTAAAAATGTAAAAGACATCTCCTTGCCTCCACAGTCTCAACTTTAGAAATGTATTCATTATGTTTGTATCACTCGGAAACAATTTTATAACATACATAAGTTATGGGTTATGTGCAGATAGATTAAAAAATTAGTATTCGCGATAGATCGTCAGTCAAGTCGACCTGAACAGTAAGTCGGTTCGGGAGATCAGCACCCCGATGCCCGACACGTAAACGGGTCAGTCTTAGGCGTTCAACCGCGCGTATACCTATGCTACGGCGATCGAGAAAATGCCCTCGGCCGACCTCCCTCTACAAAGGCATGTAAAAGCCTTTGCATGTGGGCTGGTAGCTCAGTAAGGATACGCCTACCAGAGGGTGGTGACAGCCCCTCGGGTAGAGATGAGCAGTACCTCGCGACGTCCCGACCTGTCGCGGGGCGTCATGAGAGGTATAGCCCTCGCTCACGGTCGGAGTGGTGACTTGTTGTTCTTTCAAGGAATAAATCCTGCGTGACATGACCGTGAGGTTCAACGCTCCCCATCAGGGTGCGGGACCGCCGCGCGCGACAGCGTCCTGAAGCTGAACCTTCCCTCCTCGGCCTCCCGCTGTGCTGCCGCCTCTATTGGGTCCAGGAATACCTTTCTCATACCTCCTTGCTGAGGTGGCTCTGTCGTCCCTTCCCGGCCAAAGAGCCCCTGTACCTCCTTCCCCTGGATACCATACCGGCTCTGCTCCGTCCAGTCGACCATTTTAGTGGCCGAGAGTCTTTCCACCATCGCCGCCATGTCCTGGAGCCTCTTCTCCCATTCCGCTTCCTTGACTTGCATACGGGACCTCCATGCTTGGTTCTCTGCCCTCTCTTCTCCCAACTGGGTGGACAACTGTCCCACCTCTAACCTCGAGGCCGCCAACTCATCGCTGAGCATGGAGTACCGTTGGAAGAACGAGATCGCCACCTCACCTATCCTCCTATCTGCACGCTCAATCCCCATCCTGGCGGCTGAAAGTCCCAAGTCCCCTGTCTCTCGTGCCTCGTCCACCCTCGCATTCTCCTGTCCCACCTCTCGTGACCTCAGGCGAGCAGCATCCCTCTCACCCTCATAGTTGGCCTTACTAATCCTCTGCTCGCTCGTCGGAGGGTCAATCGGTGGCTTCGGCGTTTCTCCTGCGGCCTCCATCCTAATCTTTTCCTGGTATAACTCCTCGAGGCGTACCTGCATCCTCACGCACTTTTCTTCTTTCTTCTCCCCTGAGGGCCTCCTTGCCCTCGCCCCACGGGCCTCTCGCAGTGGGTCTCTCTCACTCGTCCCCTCCTCTGTGGGTGGCGGCTCTGGCGGAGGCTCTCCGGATGTCGGCACCTCCACATTCATGCGTTCACCTGTAGGCTCAGTTAGATGTGGTACCATAGTAGTAGGTGTCCTCGCTCCCTCGCCCTCCTCTGGCTTCGTCTGCGTCGGAGGTGGCGTAGTAGTTTCCGATGGAGGCCCCAACATTTCCTCGCTGTCCGGCTCAAGAACCCCTTCAGGCCAATACTGTCGTGCCTGTTTCGGAATCGGGGTAGGAGGAGGGGTATCATCCCCAACAGTCATAACCCCCTTAGTCTGTGGCTCCCCGGGTTCGCAAGACCTCGCCTCAGGCCCCGGCTCAGGTGGTTCCTCCTCTGGCTCATCCTCTACTGGCTCATACCGTGCCGGTCCGCTCTGGTCCGCTCCCAGCTGTGACGCCCCCCACTGGGACGCATCGAGATGAGCCTCCAACCTGTCGAGCAGCGTCCTAAATGGCACCGCCTCTCCCCCCTCTGGTAATGTCGGCGACGGGCCCCGTAGATCACTGCCCGTGATTCGGCGAAACTCCACCCGCTCGGGTCCATAGGTAGGGGGTAGCTACGCCGCCTGAGCTGGCCCCGCGGCTTGAATTGGCTCCACCGCCTGGGCGGCCTCTGCTGGCCCATCTCGTTGTGTCAAGGCCTTTCGGCCCCCTCTGGTCGTAGTGGCCCCTCTCGCCTCTGGGCCCCGTGGCCTCTTACTCCTCTGTCGTCTCTCCACCCTGGGCTCCGGTCTCTCGGGCTCCAGTCGTCGAAATGGTTGTCTCAACTGGGCCTGGCAGTCCTCCCAGTCGCGTGCCTTGTCCCGGATCTGCCTCGCCAACGGCCTCTCTGCCCTCTGCGTCTAGAGGGGCAGTGTCTGCATCCACTCCTCCTGCCCAGTCCCCTGGTCGCGCATATACTGCTCATAGGCCGGGATGAACTCTTCCACATTGCCTTCCTCCAATCGAATAGGCAGCCCATCCGGTCCCAACGGCGAAGCCCTCAACATCTGCATCCTCGCCTCCACATCCTGCCAGGTCAACGCCTCCTCCCGAATGTGTGCGATGGGCTCCTTTAAACGCCCAACTCCCCTCAAATGTTGTATCCTCTCCAAGGTAGACCAGCCCTCCCGTGCCACATGTGCCTGGTAGGAGTCTAGAAAAAGCTCTATGTTATCGTCGTCAAAGATAGGCGTAGACTCCCTCCCAAACGGTCTGTGCGAGTCATCCCCTCCTGATGTTCCCTGAGGCCTCTGTCGTGGCCGCGCACCCCTCCCGCCCCTCTGCATGGCTGTCTTCGAAAAGTCATACCTGCACAACAGGCGAGAGAAAGCAAGCAGGCACACAACAGGGTTAGCCATCAGCCCATCAAGCTTTATGATAACACACATGCCTTTTCCTACTCCTTCATCTACCCTGGCCGTAATATGCAACACATCAAGGACTAGTTCACTCTAGAGAACGTAGAGTCCTTTACCTATTCCCTGAGCACGAACTTCTTCAGCCTGGTCCCTGATACCCAATCCTGCCAGCCTGTCCCGTCCAGCTCCTCGATCTGATGGGCCCCAAATTCGTCACATCGCAAAATTCTATAGGGGCCCATCCATCTCTTGTCGAGCTTCCTCGACCATTGCTTCTCCAGGGAGGAGTCGTACAGTAACACGACGTCCCCCACTGCCAATGGCTCCTTCCTTACTCGCGCCGTCTGGTCCCACCTCATCTTGTCTTCCATGCGACTCCTCTCTACCTGACCAGCGGCCTCTCGCAATCTTTCCTCGGCCGCCCCCACTTGCCTCGCCCGAATATCGAGCAGTTCTTCGAAGGATAGGTTTACTTCCAAGTCTTGGCGCCTCCACGTCTTCATAAAGCTTTCTATGGGAAAGGTGGTGTGCCTCCCATACCATAGTGTGGCTAGCGCGAAATTGGTAGTGCTCTTTACAGTAACATTTTCCACGAAGATAGCTGCCCATAGGAACTTTGGCCACTGACCAGGCTCGCCCTCTGTCCACTTAGCCAGGAGATTCGTGATGGTACTGTGCCCCCTCTTCACAGGAGCGTTCGCTTGAGGGTGCGCGACCGTAGTATAGTTGGTCACTACGCCATACCTTGCAAGCAACGTCCTCACCTCATTGCAGGTAAACTCTGATCCTCGATCCATCACGAACTCCTTGACAAAAGGATATCGCAGGTAATACTCCTCGATGCAGTTCGCCAAGATCGGGCCATTCTTTGTCCAGATAGCTCGTCCGTCCACAAACCCAGTAAGGTTATCCCGTGCATCGAAGATGTAGTTACACCCATTCTCCCCTGCTGGCATGAATAACAGGTCCAGGTGTACGACCGCACCCACTTCCCTTTCCAACCTTGGGTGTAGGGGCTCCCCAGGCCTTTGCGCTGACCTTTCTTGGCAAGGTATACAGGACCGGCAGTATTTGATAACCATCGTCAGCATCCCATCCCAATGGTAGAGCTCGCTTATCTTCGTACATGTGGCACTTATTCCTCTGTGCCCTCCTGCTATACCATCGTGTAGGGCTGCTATGATATCGGTTTGCCGGTTTCTCCCACATACGATCCTCTTGGGGTTCCCGACCTGCTGCTTTATAAACAAGTGACCGTCTCTTACCACATAGAGGTGCCTCATCTTCCTCTCTATCCCTCATCTCACGTGATAGGAGCAACCCCAATTCCCGGTAGACCCCATCATACTCCTCCGCCCGAAACGCCTCCTTGATTTCTACTTCCTCAAATTCGTCGTCCTGACTTTCAGGAACTAAAATCTCACCTTCCTCATGACTGAACGAGCCCTTCCGGTCGAAGTCTCCTTGCAGGAGCGTATTGGTGAGCAGGTACATCCCTCTCATTAGCTGCTCATGCTCCTCTACCTGAGTGGGGCCTTCCTCTATTGTCCTCACTTCCTCCACCAGACTGTGCGTTCCTGCCAACGCCAACTTCATCATCCAACCAACATCCTTACTTCCCCACGGATCCTCCTCCTGAAAGGGTTTGAGGACTAACTCTTTCTTCTGCTCGTACCCCATTGGTGCTAGCCATATGGGATGACTGACGCAACTCGGCACTCGCAGGGACCATTCGTTTATGTGCAGGCGGACGTCCTCCTCTTGATCCAAGAACCCATCAACTGGTGGGGTGTCTTCTATCGATTCCTCGTCCGATCCATCCCAGTTGATGCGGCTTAACCCATCCGCCCTGTTCTTGTTCCCTGGGATCCTTTCCAGCTCGAAATTAAACATCCAAATGTAGGTCAACCATCTTGCGACGGTTGGGTCAGATGGAGTATAATTCTTCAGGGAACATGCCAGTGCAGTAAGGTCCACCCTCAAGATGAGCCTCCTAACAAAAACATAGTTTCGGAAGGTCCTTAGGCAATGAAGTACCGCCAGCGTCTCCTTCTTGAACTAAGAGTAGTTCCTCTCAGTTGTATTGAGGGTGCGACTTTCGAATCTTAGCGGCCTCTCCTTCCCCTCAATATCCGCCTGAATTAGGACTCCTCCCAAGGCAGTTGGCCCAGCGTCCGTCTCAATGACGAATGATCTCTCCTCCATGGCCTCGTAGTTTGGCGCTCCCAATACCAAGCCTCCTTCCTTAAACTCTCCCTTCATCCTACCGACTGCCTCTTCCTGGTCTTCGCCCCAGACCCATTCCTGATCCTGGTGCACCAACTTCCTTAAATGCTCCGTCTTCGTGACGAAGTCCTTCACGAAGCTCCTCCAAAATCCGCACGTCCCAAGAAAGCTCCTCACATCTGTTATCGAGCGGAAGGACGCCGGCCATTCAAGAATTTTGTCTGTTTTCTTTATGTCAGGCCTTCGCCCACTCTCATTACAGACAAAAACCTAGAATCGTGGCCTCCCTCATACAATGTTTCGACTTGGGGCCGCTCGCCGTCAGGTTATGCTCCTCCAATAACCCTAGAACCTGATCGATGTCTTGAACATGCTTCCAGACAAAGCGCCGCACACCGGGAATCACTTTGTCTTCCTCCTCCTTCGGACCTTTGACCGCCAGGTCATCGATGTAGGGCTGGGTGATATGTGGGTTGACCGTCTGCATGACTCTGATCATATGCCTTTGCACCATCGCCACCGCATTCGTCCAACCTTGAGGCGCCACGTTCATGTGAATCAACCCTCTGGGTGTGTGCATCGCCGTTACGGGCCTGTCTGGCGGGTATACAGGGAATTGGTCGTACCCTGAGTAGAGGTCTATAGTCAAGATTATAGGCCTCCCTGCGCACGACTCTGACAGCGCGTCCGCGTTCGGCAACTCTCCCGTGTCCCGCACTCTCACCGCATTTAGCCGTTGCAAGTCCTGCACCCACCTTAGCATCCCATTTGGTTTGATAAAACAAAACCAAGGCGACACGTACGGTCCACTGGAATAGTCGGCCACGTGCGTCCGCATCTTGCCGTCCAGGTGGTCCACCACCTTCTTCTCCTCATCCCGATTTGGGTATCGCGCGCCCCTTAGATTCCATGGCTCGTGTGGAACGGTGTGGATTCGTATCATCGGAATCTTGTCCACATCCAGCCTCCCACGCTCGTCATCATTGAACACATACGCGCGATGTCTTTTCTTCATCAGCCCCACCATCAATGCTCTTTCCTAGGGCGACAGGAAGTCGGGCTCCCCGATTATCAGCTTTCCCTCATTCTCGTCGTTGATACGGCATGGCCCGGCCAATGCATGCTCCCGCATACGCCGTATCAATCCTCGCTCCCGCTCGTAATAGGCTTCCTCATCCTCTGTGGCGAGCACGGGAACTGGGCTGCAGTTCTTATCTATGGTCTTGTACCGCCTTTGGGAACCCTGCTTAAGCCCTCCCCTAAAAAAGGTCGACTTGTCGCTCGGGCCTGGGCCATTGCAGGGCCTCCTCTCCCTCCTGGAAGCTGATATACCAACTCCACCTCTCCCACTTGAGGGTTCTCCAAAACCTGCTCCCTCAATGCCTTAATGGCCTCCGGATCCGCCATGTTGTGAGCCGACACCACCTCCATGGCCTTGTCCACATCTGTGAGGCTCAGTGTCAGCACCTCAGCCCTATCTTTCTCCTCGGGCACTTCCCAAAGCCGTCTTCGCTCGTTCTCTGATTCCTCGAAGGTGAACGAGCCTAGGTTAGGCCTGTTCCTTCCGCTTCCCGGCCCCGTGTTTCGGCAGGTGATAACTTCGTAGTTCCCACACGCTGGGTCGCATAGGAGTAGGATCATTGTCCCGTCGTGCTTATTAAAAATCAACATTTCCGTTCGGCATAGGAACGACTGCCCCAGAAGGATGGGGTGATCAATATCGGGCATGACGAAGAAGCAAGTCCTGGCTCGCATCTTCCCAATCTCTATAATCACATTAGACGTTGTGCCGCAAAAAGCGGCCTTGCAGTTAGCGCCATGCAACATGCCATGGTCCAAGCGGTCGATTTTCATGCCTATCATCACTGCCTCCTTCTCCCTGTTGATGTTCATTTCTGTGCCCGTGTCCACCATCCCAGTACACTTCTGGTTCTTTATCACCAGATCCACCTGCCCGCACGCCACACATTTCCAATCCATCCTTGTCTCTGCCTCAGTCCACTCCACCTCCCTGGACAGGACCGTACTTAGATGGACATTTGGCACCAGCCTTCGCGAGAGTCGCCCTTTCAACTCCCCACGGAGCCTTGGCGCCGACGCCAGGATATCCTTTAAGTTTATCAAGTCATTATGGTCTTCCAGGAGCTTGTCCACCATCCGCTCCACATCAAGGCCTTCTTCCATCCGAACCGCGTACTTCTTCCTCTGAGGCACGTTGTCAGGCAGGCTTGGCTCGGCCTCCTCCCGGCCTCCTCTCTTTTTGGCCCTCAGCTCCGCCCGCTGATCCTCCTCCTGTCGGAGCCTCTCATCCTCTTCATCGTCATCCTATTCCTCTTCCTCCGGGACCTCCACCACCTCTTTCCTACGTTCTGGCTCAGGCTCCTTTCGAGGGGGTGCCTAACTGGGCTCTTGGTTAGGCCCGACCTTGTTTTGGCTCCTAGTCCGAGCCGCCTGCGGTACCCTCCCATGCGACGTGGGGGGTCTATAGGCCATACCTGACCTAGGGCTCGTCCCTACAGTCGCCACTCTTGGGCACCCCTGTTGTCCTGGCAAAGGCTCAGGTCCGGAGTCATAAAGGAAGACCTCAGGCAGACTGGTCTCCCACTCTCGGGCTTCTTCACACAGGGCCTGCAACTTCCGCTGGTATCTTCCCACCTTTTCCAGCAGATCTTCCATCCTTCCCAGGAGGACTATGGTCGGCTCTCCCTCGCCTTTCTGCCTCTCGTCATCCGATTCGACGACTATTGGCTCCTCCCTTATAGTCCCTGCCTTTAGCCACTGGGTGACCTCCTCACTGTCCCCTACAATCTCCTCGACTCTTACGGTCTGCTTTTCCTTCTCCTGCTACATCCTAAACATTGTCGGGGGTGTTGTGGGCCCTGCTGCCGCTCGTCGGAGAGCCTCTTGCCTGATTCCTCCCGGGGTCCTGGGGTCGATATGCTCTCCCCACTTGTCATATATATCCCCGTCCATACAGGAGGAGATTAACCCTGACAATTCATCCTCCCGCCGCCGCTCACAAAACCGCACAGTGTGGCCTACATCGCCACAATGCCAACAGGTGGCATTTCGTCAATCAAAGTGGGGCCTCCCATACCCTTGGCCCCCCTCCTGGCCGCCCCAACCACCTTGGTTCTGGCCCCTTTGACCATTCCAACCACCCCCACGACCCCCACGACCCCCACGACCCCCACCATTTCCTCCCCGGCCGCGGCCGCCACCTCCTCGACCCCCTTGACCTCGGCCTCCATTGCCTTGTTCGCCTTGTCCTTGGTTTCCTCCACCGACCACGCTAGCCTGCGAGGCCTGTTGGGAGGGAGGTGGTTGGGCCACAAACTGACCCTGAGCCGCAAGGTAGCTCGGGGGCCCCATACTTACCGCTGGGCCCGCATAAGGGACCATTTGCCCGGGGTGAGTTTGACTACCCCCGCACGAGGTGCAGTGATTACAACTGGGCCAGGGTGCAGGCTGACAATGCGGCACCCAGTGCCCACAAGCCGCCGGCGGCCCCATACATGACGGCCCGGCCGTCGCTGACGTTGTCGTGGCAGCAGGTGGCGGCGCAGCAATCGCTTGCGGGACCTGCCCTTTTTCGGATCCTTGACCCCCCACTTGTAAATTTCGCTGCTTCCTCTGGGCCTTGGTTAGGATCTGGGAGCCCGTCTCTTCTCCGCCATAGTCCTCGCGCCTAGCCTCCTCTTCCACTGCCCCCGACGCCCGGCCTTGGGCCACGGTCACTCCCCTCTTTTGCACTTCCGCCTCATTATCATACCCCAGCGCTGCTAATACGTCCGTGACGATCCTCTTTACCCCTGGGGTCCCGGATGCGGTGGCGTCCCTTTCCTTTTTCTTGCGCCTTTGCAGCCACACCTGGTGCTGCCTCACCTGGTCCAGACTCCCCTCTTCCACCCCTTTGTCGATAGTGGCCCAGGTGAGTTTCTCATTTCCCCCTCCGTGACCCGTCAGCTCCGAGGCCTCCGAGCCAGTAAGCAGACACAAAAATATGGCACACTGCGTTTCTTCGGAGATCTCGTGCACCTTCCGCGCCTTCCTTTTAAACTCGTGCACAAACGCCCCAATCGTGGAAAAGTCATCCTTGTTCATGGCCTCCAAATCCGCCATGGTTAGCAAGTCATCCCCTAACCTGTACTTTCTCTGCATCATGTCCCTGAACCTCGCCCAACTACCATTGGCGGCATCCACGACCTTGCCCACTTCCTGCTGGTGGCTATGAAGGACATATCTTAGGACTCGTTGGAGCTTGACCTCGTCCGACAGCCCCACCAGTGCTTGCTCCGTCAGGTCCAGCCAGTCGGACACCCGTTCTCCCTTGAAGTGGAAAGTATCAACCTTCGGGGCATTGCTCGGTGCTCTCTCGCGCTTATCCAGGGCATCAATGAGGTCGTCGAGCGTTACAAGCTTTCTCCCACCGTCCGCCATCTCCTCAGGCATTTTGGTTAACTGCCTTCGGCTTCAATCCCCCTGTTATAAGAAGCGATAGGACGAAAGGTTCCACTCAGCAGTCCATTCCTTCACGATCCTATCGGACCGACCACCTAAACACCCGACGCTCTGGACCTAACAGACATCTTTTTCTCTACTTCCTACCTCCCTTGGGTTCACCTAAGCAAGACCCATTCTCATCACATAATTCACTCACATACTCATCTCGTTCACGCCATCAGCCAAACCATCAATCAGATCAGCATACGTTCGCACACAGCCATATGGATTACTATACGATTCGTCTCATAGTTCTACCTTTATCCACTCATGTGCCTAGTTCTCCCTCATTCTCATACCCGGATGTCGTTCCACCAGGGACAACGGTAGGCTTTCGTTATCCCCGGCAACGGCGCCACCTGTCGAGCGCATCGGTCTGGCACCGCACGCGGCAGGGCGGGACTCTCTCAGTCGCATCACGCAGGATTTGGGCCAACCTTGTCGCGAACACACAAATGAACCTTTTTTAGGCTGCTCCGACCGAGTGCGCCAGCCATACCTCTCGCGAGCCCCTACGACAAGATAGGGCCTACGCGAGGTACAACTTACCTCCACCTTACGGGAGCTGTCACCTTCCTTCGGTGGGCTTATCCCCGCCGAGCTATCAGTCCACAGTACGAAAGCTACTCAGTTGCAATCGCAGAGGTGGACCAGCGGAGGGTGTTTCTCGTTCGCTGTAGCATAGGGGGTACGGGCGGTAATACGCCTATCGGACCCGCACGCGAACCGTCATCTTGGGGGGCTGAGGTCCCAAGCGCGGCTCGTCGTCGGTCGACTAGGGCGCATCTCGCACACCACACGCACACCACTCTAACAAACAAAAAAAATAAAATACACACACACACACATCGAACAACGCGACAACACTCCTAGTCCCTTCATTAGCCGTCCCATAACTTCCCGACGCGGAGATCGGATGGGCGCCGCGCGCGAGACTCAGTATAAAAATCGCGCGGGCGCAGGGCTAACTCATATCGACTTAGCAATGCAAACGCACGTAAGCAGTCGCAATGATGGTGTACCATGTAGTACCCATACTCGCGCGGCCCTCGCTAATCTCGAGGGTCGCGTTCGACACTCAAGTGTCGACTGACACGCGCCTGGAGGGTTAATCTCTCGACGCTGGACAACCGCCATGTGTGGTTGAAAACCACACCCTCTTTTGCATCCTGTGCAGAGGGGTTGAGTAGACAACTTTAAGTTGTCGTCGCGGTCAGACATCAAGGGGTTTGACTTTGACAGCCTCCACGGACTTTAACGTCCAACCATAAAAACTCTAAAAAGCAAACAAATAGGCCGAGGATCCCCCCTTTGTTCCGACCGGGGCCATGATTTCTGGGGTACCCTCCCTTCCCTCGGGCGATGCCTACGGCCTACGATAATCTAAGGCGTTTGCGTCTACGTGCGAGCCTTATAATCCCATAACTCTTAGACACTGGGGCGGCGAAGCATCGCACGCAAAATTTTTACATAAGGCCGCGCGGCTGCTGACCAATCCCATACCGAGCAACGATGCCAGTCATATGTGGTAATCGCGGCCCCGTCCTCGCGAACCCCCACAGTAAATACACCCAAGCATACACACATAGGGGAGATAAAATTGCGACGATCACTGCTCACAGGCACTGTGGGACTTCTTACAGCCATAAGTACATATATGAGATCGCAGGCAACCCCAAATCCAAATCCGAGCCACAAGGTCTACCTGCAATCACATCGAAGAATCGAGCAGCAACCACGCACTACACGGAGTCAACCCCAACCAATCTCCACACTCATACCCCTTGCTTTAGCCATGCAAGCGCCAATCTCCCGCCCGACCAACCATAATTAAATACTCAGTAACTTTGTCAAATGGCCATTCAATAAAAGTCCGGGTGAAACCCTCAACAAACAATAAAGTCACCAGGGCTAGCCTTTTGGGTTGGGTATGGAGAGTGAGTTAGAATTGAGTCGTAGACCGACGAATCGGCAACCGACCTATTATCAGTGATAACAGAAGGTGATCCTTGTAGAATCAAGCTGACACTAGCCCAAGTCCTGAATCGAATGTCCAAGAAAAGCCTGTACCATGAGACAGGTCAAGGTCCAAACTAACACATCACCCTTTGGGGATGAATCTTCATAGTACATCCTCACTCATAGCTATGTGTCAACTAAGTCTAAGCCTACCTCTACGCCAGTGCCCAAAGCAAAGGTAGACTAATGGCAGAATCTCCCCTATTCAGGGTGGATTGCCAGAATCGTCACCTGTCAAAATATAATCTAACTCCTCTAAACCACGAAAATTTCGGCAGTGCTTCCCGTAGGAAAAGTGCATTTTCAAAATTTATATCATCCCAAATACAAATCGGAAATAACCGTTGACTTTTCGAAGTCCAAATTTTGTCCAACTCCTTGATTAAGCAAAAATTTGGGCAGTCCCTTTAAAAAAGGAGACTTTCCAGATTTTTACTAAGTCATATATGAATTTTAGACAAGCTGAACTCTGAAAGTCAAGGTTTTGACTAACTCCTTGGATTTGCAGAAATTTCGGCAGCACTTCCCGTAGGGAAAGTAGCCTACCAGAATTTATACAAAGCCAAGTATAACAAAAGGTCCCAGAAAATGCGAGCATCGATCTAAGTAAAAAAACTTAGCTCAGAAAATGCAAGAATTGACCTAACTCCTATTGCTCTAGCACGAGGCGAGCCTCTAAAGCAACTACCTGTCAATCTGACACTCAACCCAAGTAGTAGCCTCACTCAGTCTCATGCATGCCAACCCACAAAGGTAAGTACTCTCGCCTCCCCAAGTCAACCTTTGCAAACAATAGTTCGTAATCTCTCGATGCTTTATTCCCTTATACCCAGCTTACATAGGGCATAAAGTCAGGTCGTCCAATCTTATGGAACTTGTCTGACTCAGCCAATGAGTATACACGAACAAGTTGCACAACTACTTCTCTCTTCATTTTGGGCATATGACTAGGCCGTTCATCTTAGAACAAGGCTTAGCCGCCCAGAACTGTTTAATATCCAAATTATATATACTCTTAGTTATACTCTCTTCATTTCATGATAAGCTATAGCCAAACCGTCCAATCTTATGGAACCCATGCCTGACTAGCCTGTTCATAAATAGGATAGTATAAAATATAGCCAAAATTTAGTCTTTTGGGTTCCAGCATGTGCGAGGCATTGGGTCAGACCGTCAAATCTTATAGAACATATTTGATCCTCTGCCAGGTTCGTTGCTCTCTGGTCCACTGTGTGCGGCATGAGTCCAAGACCATCCAATCTTATGGACATGCCTTGCCCTCTGCGAGAATTACTTCCTCAGAATAAAACAAGAGGAGGCTGAGTCGTCCAATCTTATGGACTTGCTCAGACCTCCTCGATCAGAACCAAAAAAAAACAGAACAAACCCCAACCAAACATGACAATCAAACCCTCCAATCTTATGGTACAGGTTCGGCCCCTGAAAAATCAGCCACAGTCAACCCTCACAATTCAGAGCAATCAGACCGTCCAATCTTATAGAACTGGTCTGACTCTCCATACAATTCAAAGATAAATACAGCGGTCAGACTGTCCAATCTTATGGAACTGGTCTGACCCCATAAGACCTTGTCAGCCTCAGGCAAAATCACCTTTCATCGGCACTTCCCCCAGATGCAGTCCTCTTTTTCCTAAACAAGTCTGCCTTCAGTCAATCAAAAGATGAAATTGAGTTTTCTCACGCATTCCTTTATTTAATCTGAGTCATATCCTGCCACTCAAATAAAAATCAAAATGGTATGTTCAGCCAAACATAGCAAGGCGTACAGATAGGGGTTATACCAAGGTATATAGAGAGGAAGCAATGGTTACCTTTCAATTCCCTGCCTCCATAACTCCTCCCGAGTTCTGGCAGAGCTCCCGCAATCGGTGGGGCGAACCTCCCACAGAGGCCTTGACGCGGATTACGAGTCGCAATCCCGCCTGCCGCCTTCCTCTCAAAACCAATAAACTAGACTTAGAGTTAGGAGGGCAGAAAGGAGTTTTTGGACTCTCAGATTGGAGGACTGCACTCAGACTCGCAGGAGAGGGTCTCATTATCTTGGTGTGCCTGAGGGCCCCACAATGGCAGCCAGCATACCAGCTTGGTCAGATTGAGTCAAACTGCCCGAAGTCAAACACCTGACGACCTCCCGAATCGCAGCAGCAACCCCTTCCTCCACACTGCGCCTCCGCTCCTCCAAGATGCCGCCACAACTACACGGTCCTCAAACTGTCGCATCCAGACTAGCGTAGCAACCTTAGTCGAGCACTTCGTGACCAATCAATACTCCAACACTGTTCGGCATGAATGCAACAGCCTTAGCGAAATGCTCGCACCCCAAACCCCCTTGGTCACGGTCACTCCAGCCAGTCTTTAGGCTCGCAACCAGGCAGACCTCTTCGTCGCCGCCCTGCCCAGCAAGGAGGCAGTCCGACGTCCCACAGACCATCCTCAACGAGGCCTTGCTCTCCTTGGTTCCGACGAGCGGCGTGCCTGCCGCCAAGTAAGTTTGCTAGCTTACTGTCTCTGTCCTTGCAATGCGGATTTCGGCTGAGACCGCACGGCACACCTGCATATGCAGTCCCCAAGCAAGTTCCCGACCACAGATCCTTCAGATGACAAGCTTTCCCGGTCCATTTCGTTAAGAATCGATCGAGCTACATTCCCCCGACTTCGCCCGACTCTCTTCCCCGGCGTTTCCAACCTCCCCTTCTCTGTCTGTACACACTCGGCATGCACATTCAATCCCCTGCCACTGCCGGCGGCTCCTTGGTCCGCCTTGCTTTTCTTCCTTCGCACTCCGCCCCGTCACTACCTTCGCCCAGCTCCCTCTCTCACGGATGTACCTCCTGCGACTACCTGCCCAGGCACATCCTTCCCCCGTTTCTCAGCGCGTACCTGGTCTTTTACCCGGCCGGTTTCGCGCTACCTTGCGGCCAAATGCAGGCCGGTAGGCAAGCTCTCTCTTACCCTCGTTCGCCTTCTCTCTCTCTCTCCCTCTGCAACTGAC